TTTGCTTTTATTTCATCTTTTTATTTGACTTTATTGAGAGTATTACTCTTGTATTGAAAGTCATTGTTCAGTTCTGAATCTTCTGAAGAATGTGATCATCATCATCATCATCATCCTCACAGTGAGCCGCTGACCTCGGTGAGTGAGTAAACCCACACATGCTGACATAACCGTTACACTTCACTTTTATTACACTTGCTTTCTCCGGCGGGGCGGGGGTTTACTGCTCTGTTTACTGGTGTGTTATGCTGTGTTTTACAGTTCGCTGGCCTCATGCACTTTGTTAATGTGTGTTTTCTCAATCTGAGTTTGAATATAATCATATGGTTCAAACTTTTAAAGTAATTTAAAAGCTTTAATCAAATATAAACATACATTAAAGGAATATTCTGGGTTATGTACAGAATCTGTGACATTGGTAAAATATATGGTAAAAATACATATATTATGGCATGATGTGAAATACTTTGTAGTATTGTTGACTGACCCCATAAACATTTTTGGACCATATTTTAACCCAGAATATTGTCAGTGTTTGAGTTGTGCTGCAAATATAATAGTTTTAAAGTGTAGAACTGAAATCAGACAATGGTAGAATAGAATGTAAGAAAGAAATCCTAGATTTATCAAGAACTAAATGTATGGTCTTTATCTAAAATCTTAAAATTGTTTATTGTTACATACATACAACACTTGTCAGAACAAAATATATATAAATAGGGAACAAAATGTACATGTCACAAAAAAAAACATCTCCTTTGAGTAATAATAGGCAATGCAACTCTACTTCTGCTAGGAGAAACTGTACAGAATTATTAGTGGTCTGAAACACAGTTTGTGGAAGCTTGTGTGTGCAGTCAATTATTACAGTTCTACTGCAGAAACATCCACAGACACTCAACGCTCTACACATACTGGGAGAACTGTGGGCGGGATTAACTATTGAGGGCGGAGCTTTCAGGGGCGGGGTGGGGGTGTTGAAGGCGGAGCCAGGGGTGTAAAAGGTGGAGCCAAGGTGACGAGGGTGGAGCCGGGGCTGTTGAGGGCGGAGCCAAGGTGACGAGGGTGGAGCCAGGGCTGTTTGAGGGCAGAGCCAAGGTGACGAGGGTGGAGCCGGGGCTGTTGAGGGTGGAGCCAATGTGACGAGGGTGGAGCCGGGGCTGTTGAGGGTGGAGCCAATGTGACGAGGGTGGAGCCGGGGCTGTTGAGGGTGGAGCCAAGGTGATGAGGGTGGAGCCAGGGCTGTTGAGGGCGGAGTCAGGGTGACGAGGGTGGAGCCGGGGCTGTTGAGGGCGGAGCCAAGGTGACGAGGGTGGAGCCGGGGCTGTTGAGGATGGAGCCAATGTGACGAGGGTGGAGCCGGGGCTGTTGAGGGTGGAGCCAAGGTGATGAGGGTGGAGCCAGGGCTGTTGAGGGCAGAGCCAAGGTGACGATGGTGGAGCCGGGGCTGTTGAGGGCGGAGCCAAGGTGACGAGGGTAGAGCCGGGGCTGTTGAGGGTGGAGCTGGGGCTGTTGAAGGCGGAGCCAAGGTGACTAGGGTGGAGTCGGGGCTGTTGAGGGTGGAGCCAATGTGACAAGGGTGGAGCCGGGGCTGTTGAGGGCGGAGCCAAGGTGACGAGGGTGGAGCCGGGGCTGTTGAGGGCGGAGCCAAGGTGACAAGGGTGAAGCCGGAGCTGTTGAGGGCGGAGCCAAGGTGACGAGGGTGGAGCCGGGGCTGTTGAGGGCGGAGCCAAGGTGACTAGGGTGGAGTCGGGGTTGTTGAGGGTGGAGCCAATGTGACGAGGGTGGAGCCGAGGCTGTTGAGGGCGGAGCCAAGGTGACAAGGGTGCAGCCAGGGTGGCGAGGGTGGAGCCGGCGCTGCTGAGAGCCAGAGTGACGAGAGTGGAGCCGTGGCTGTTGAGGGCGGAGCCAGGGTGACGAGGGTGGAGCCAAGGTGACAAGGCTGGAGCCAGAGCTGCTGAGAGCAGAGCCAGGGTGCCGAGGATGGAGCCTGGGTCTCGAGGGTGGGGGCAGGTGTGCTGAGGGTGGAGACAGGGCAGGGCGTTTCACTTCATCAGGAAAAATCCAGACTTTGACCTAATACTATTTCTTCAGAGATCCCGACATCTTACGAAGTCCCTTCATCCGATAGAGCAGCCCATTGATAAAGTCCTGTGGAGTTGAAACCATTACGTTTTAAAGTTAAAACCGTCTGTGGTCATGTAGATTACAGTCTATATTACAGTTGCATTTTTACTTTCTTTTTCTGCTAATCTGATTTTATCTGGAATTTTTGTCTATATTGATATTAAATTGCTATCTAATTTCCATTTCCGACAACAACAAAAAATCATCCTTTCGTAAAAGAAAAAAAAAAGTAAGTTTAGATTAGGAGATAATAAATCCAAATGATGTCATACCAAGTCATCATATGTATGAGATAAAAAGTCACAATTATGACACACTAAATCATATTTATCAGATTAAGTAATTATGTGACAATAAGGAGGAAAAATTACATACTAAGTAATATTTGACGAAAGTGATCTAAGTCGAAATCTTGAGATAAAATCGAAATTGTGACATAAAAAGCCAAAATTATGACACGTAAAAATTATGAGACATATTGTTATGACATACTAAGTCATATGTGACACAAGTAATAATTTTCAGATAAAAAGTCAAAATTAAGAACACTAAGTATGACTTTAAAAGTTGAAATTATGAGAGATTATAAGAAATCATGTCATTATACTATAAAAAGTCATAATTTGTGCTTTATCTATTATGACTTTTTTATGACATTTTGACTTTTTATGTCATAATTAAGATTTACCGAAGCATTTGTTTTTTTATGTGGCTTCCAAAGCTGAATTGGGCTGAATAATGCTACTATCGTCTTTAAATAGTATTTGTTCCATAATTAAAGAACTTGAATGCAACATTAACAATGTTTATCACTGTGAAGCTGCTTCTCATGTACACTATTATAAAAATAAAGCATGAATAATTGGTTAATAAGTGGAAGAAAGCGCACAAGAAAAGCTGTTTGCAGAGTTGGTCTTACCTCTTTTGGCTTTCCACATTCCTGCAAAAGCTCCTGTTAAAACAGAAAAGCAATATCTGTTTACATGTGAAGTCATGATGCATATTGATGCACTTATTAGTTTTTAGATATTAGTTTTCTGCTACACTCTCAAGATTAAAGCTTCCAAAGGGGCTTTCATTGCAATACCATAGAAGAACCCAAATAACCATTTCAATGAATCCTTAGAAGAACATTTAAAATATATATTTTTTTCAATATAAAGAATCTGGTGCTTCTGATTTTTTATTTTTTTTAATCATTTTTTCTTCATCGAAATGGTACGAAACTTAAAGGTTTTGACACTTTCTATGTGAACACACACAGAAAATGATGGACAGAAAATGATTCAAACAGATTAAAAGGTCCTTAAAAAATAATTACGATCAAAAGTGAGCGCATTGGAAATTAACGGGAGACGGATTTTATCTAGTGGAAACTTTTGGTACTGCAGCCAAACATCTGACAGAAAGCTCATTTTTTGAGATATCAAGCTCAAATTTTGAACACAACTAGTTCAGATTTATGGCTTTGATTTTCTCACAGTTTTAGAGTGAAACATGTATTTGAAAAATGTATATTTAAAAAATATAAACGTAAAAATTCAGTAACTTTTCAAGCCAAGCGTCTTTGAGGAGAGATCAAACATCAGTCTGTGCTCTAAACATTGAAAATTTAAGACAGTTTAAATTAGAAATTCAATTTTTAGGTCTATGCTCAAAAAGTGAATAAATGGAGTATAAATATTGCATAAATATAATTTACTACCATACAAATACAAACTATTACATAAAAAACAAAATCGAACTAAAATATAGTACATTAATTTAATTGAAATTAAAATAATATTTTTTCTGTCATTTTGTCGGTCATTTTTGACCGACACACGAAGAGCACCAGAGGTCTCCATGGATCATCGATGCCAGTAAAGAAGCTTTATTTTGAAGCTGAATCTGAACGTACATGCAGTCTGGATCTCTGGTCTTCATCCGTCAGCTCCAGAAGTTCATCGATGTCGATCTCCAGCTCAGGGATCTCTTCCTCCTGCACAGACAATAACATGCTCATTACTGCATCTGCTGTTTTAAATGCAAAACAAATCTGTTATGAAAGGAGTAGTTCACTTCAGAATTACAATTTCCTGATAATTTACTCTCCCCCACTTCATTCAAGATGTCCATGTCTGTCTTTCTTCAGTCGAAAAGAAAGGAAAACATTGCAGAATTTTTCTCCATATAGTGACTTCAATGGGGTCCAACAGTCCAAACGATCCCAGCCGAGAGTCTTATAACCAGCTTATAACCAAACCATCGGCCATTTTCTAAACAAAATTAACGCATACTTTTTAACCACAAATGCTCGTCTTGCACTAGCTACGATGCGCCACGCATCCTTGATTCAGCGTTTTCCGTGTACTATAAATGTAGGATAGGGCAAAAAAAAAAAAAAAAACACATCCATCTTATTTTCTACTCCAACTTCAAAATCGAAAATCAAAAATTGAAATCGAACTTCAAAATTTTTTTTTTTTTTTTTTTGTAAATGGCGCTAGTCTTCGCCACGTTGACTGTACTTCCGCCCACGTTGCGCGTGACTTTTCGAAGTCGTGGACGTGCAAGACGAGCATTTGTGGTTTAAAAGCAGTGTTGAGTAAGTTACTCTAAAAAAGTATTTAATTACTAGTTACTACCAAGGTGGAGAAGGTTACATTATAAAAATATACTTTTTAGCATCACACAAGACATTTTGATGTTAAACCCACTGTTTTATGTCTGATCTCATGACATTTCACACTTTTTTCAAACATATTTTACAATAATTCATACGAATTTGTACGAGTGCCATTTAGACACATCATAAAATGCATACGAATCGTTGTGAGATCGGATTGATCTATACACAGTATTTACCTCAATTACATCAGAAGTAACTGTAATTAAATTACAGACAAATGAAGAGTAATCCCTTACTTTACATTTTCAAGGGAAAAGTAATTAAAATACAGTAACTAACTAAGTACTTAACACTGTTTAAAAGGTATATTATGTTTAATGTTTTTATAAAATGTCCGCTGGTTTGTTTAGATAAGACTCTTATTCCTCGGCTGTATCGTGTCGAGACTTTGAAGCTGCACTGAAACTTACATCTGGACCTTCGACCCGTTGGACCCCATTGAAATCATCTCAGACACCTTAATATCCTTTCGACTGAAGAAAGAAAGATATGAACATCTTGGATAACGTGTGGGTAAGTAAATTATCAGGAAATTTTAATTCTTAACTCATCCTTCAAAATGAAAGTGACTGGAGCACCTGAGCTCATATTTATGTGTCCAACTGATGTAAGTGTCACGCTATTATAATCTATAAGAAAATCTGATTATGAGAAAGAGTTTCCTCATGGGCATTACATTTCATTAACGCTTACGGCTAGATTACAGAATCCACCGTGTTCATATGATTAATTATGCTTTACCATCTCACACTTGAGCAGTCAGACTGAGCTTTGAGGTTTAAACTCGAAGTGTTGCATCACATCTGATCTCTGCTGGAGACTTTAATGGCATCCGCTCTTAAAAGCATCTCAATTAGAGAGAGAAGAGCAACGACGACCCCGAGAGTGACTCGCATTAGCAACCGCCAAACCGCCGCACACATCCATAATACAGGAACGCTACAGGAACTGCTGTGCTAGCACTGGGGCTAATGCTAATAATCACACCGCGGGACCGTTCTAACCTAACGAGCTGCAGTTTCTATTAGGCTATTCCTATAATTTATTCAAACATAACAATACTGTAGTTGCATGTTTTAGAATGGCAAGAACAGACATGAACAGGCTGACAGACATACAGACATTCTGAGGGTCCGGAAGTCAGTGTTGTTATTGTTGACTAAATCTAAAACTATCTAAAATAATTAATTAAAGTCAAGCTGGAAAAAAATATATTTAAAAAAAATATATGTTTAATTAAATTTTAAACACTTAAATTATTTTTTTTAAATGTTGCATTGACAGCTAGAAAAAAAATATAATAATTTGAAATATTAAAATGACAAACTAAAATGGAAATAGAAATCAATTAAAGCTAAATAGAAATATAAAAAACATGACAAAAGCACAAATGACTAATACTTGAACTAAAAGCACATTTAATAAAATGAAACTTACAAAACTTAAACAAAATAGTAATGTTAACTACCAATTTAAATAAATTAAGTTGAAGAACTAATTACTAAAACATGAGTTAAAGAATAGAAGCAAAATAGAAGAGAAATAGAAGTATTTTGACGCACAAATGACATTTAAAATATGAACACAGCTGAAATAAAAATAAAAACTTAAAAAGCGTAATAAAAATGTCTTTACAACTAATTGAAATAAAATAAGTTGAAGTAGCCTACTAAAATGACTAAAACTAAAAAAATGAAGAAAAATATTATTCTTTTAAAAAACGAAAACGATAAAAGCAGATTACTGAAACCTAAAAATCTTTCAAAATACGAATACATACATAGGATAAATACATTTAATAATAAAGCTGAAATAATATCAAACTTAACAAACTAAACCAAAGTAATGTTGCATTGACAACTAGGCCTAATTGAAATAAAATAGGTTGCCTACTATGTCTAAAACCAAATAGAAATAGAAATATTACCTATTAGACTTGCTAAAATGTAAATTAAAACTTTAATATACACACTTTAATGGTAGTCAAATAATAGTGAAAAAGCATTCAGTCTTCATTTGCTCAACCCCATGTTATTCTATTACTTTCATTTTTCGAAGTTTATCCTCATGAATTCTATGGTAATTTTGTCTTTACAGCTGCTGATCTCTGTATAGAAGAGCAGCGTGAACATTCAGACATCCATGCAGGTTTGGATCAATTATTCCTCTAAAGTCACGGGGAAGGAGTGAGTGTTTTGTTCTCTGCTAGCATTAGCATGTTTGTTGTGTTTTTAATGGGATTTCGCGGGATGTCGAGCTGCTGATTCCCTAATGTGTGGATCCGTTAACTTAATCTGATCTTCCTTTCCGGGTTTCCTGCCGTTCAGAGCATCAAAACACGAGGGACACAAATAAATACTACACACCACCTTCACATTATGTGGAAATATTCTCCTGAAACACTGCTGGATCTTTGAAGATCCGTACAAAAAAAAAAAAAAACAATTACTCTTCTACTTCAGCTTAAAAATCATCAAAAATATGATTTAGTCTTACACGGATTCTCTACGGTAGCTAAGCCTATTATTAGTTAGTGTTTATATTTTATAACCTGAAGGGATGGTTCACAGAAATCTCAAGAACTGTACGTTTTTTCATTAGGCTAAATAATAGTTGTTGAAGGAAAATAGAAATATGATTTCATTTTATTTGAATTTACGTAGTTTGAATATTTTAGTATATAATTAGTAATTTATTCATTTAGATACATTTAAGGCTGCAACATGGTAATTTTCTCATTCTCACAGGTTTTAATTACATCTGTTTGAGAAATCAAGATTCCCCGGATGGATAGTGCGTGCATTGGTCAAACATGTGTTGCCATGATTTATAATTTCTACATTGTGGTAATCATCTGCCAAATTATCACAGTTACTTTAATTAGATTTACTACTCCGGTGCCATATGATAAGATAAAATCTCTAGCACTGCAGTTTTAAAGGCATAGTTCATTTCATTATTATTCCCAGAAAACAAGACGCAGAAATCATATGGTGCACTTCATCATGATTAAATGCATCATAAAATAATTCCATGCAACTTTTACATTTCGCCGTTTATGTTCTGAAAAAGATCAAAGTTCACAAATGAGTGAGAAAATGACTGGTTCGTTTTTTAACCTGCGTCTTTTCACCTAGCAACCACATAGCAACACGCTAGCACCCCCTGGCAACCACTCATGCATCTTTTAAAACCCCAACACATGATTTAAAGTCAAATTTGGGCAGAGTAACTGCCGGCTCCAGTGAGTTCACGCATAAATTTGAGATGCTCATGAATAATGCAGTGGTTGACACAGGGGGCGGAGCTACAGGCTTCCACGCGGAAGCGTCAGAGAACCTTCAGAGTGAAACCCTTCCTCCGGGCCATGAAATATTCACCATCATCACCAAAACATGGACAAACGCACCGGCACTCCCAAACCACAGGTCATTCTCAAGCTCTCACAGAACGATCTGCTGCCTTAATAGAAATATAAGCAAATACACTGATCTGATAGCTAATGATTGGCAATTGGTCAACTATTCATAATGTATTGTTTCAGAATAGTGGAAAGAAAACATACAAAATTCCGTTCATTTTGTCTGTAGATTTCTATTACAATACAAATCTTTACAGTGAGTTTGAGTCAGAAATCTCTACTTTACATTTTTATTCATATCTATATTTTTGAAGGTTTGTTCATATTCCTAAAAACAATGAATTTGTGAATCCAATGGCTTCTGATGAAAAGATAAATCCAGAAAAACCTTTATAACAAAAAAAATTTGATCCTGTGTTTCTCCAATGTTCATATTTCATATCTGGAAATATATTAGTGCATTTTTAATTAGATTTTGCATCATTTGCATACATAATTTGCATTTCTTTTGGCAATTCGCATTGTAATCAATCAACTGGGGCAGTATGATGATGATGTTACTTTTTTAAACCTATTGACCTTGCCTTAAAGGAGTAGTTAACTTTAAAAAAAAAAGATTTTGCTGATAATTTACTCACCCCCATGTCGTCCAAGATGTCCATGTCTTTCTTTCTTCAGTCGAAAAGAAATTAAGGTTTTTGATGAAAAGATTCCAGGATTTTCTCCATATAATGGACTTCAATGGGAACCAAACGGTTCAAGGTCCAAATGAGAGTTTCAGTGCAGCTTCAAAGTGCTTTAAACGATTCCAGACGATGAATAAGGGTCTTATCAAGCGAAACGATCACTCATTTAAAAAATAAATAACAAAGTTTAAGTTTTATAAGCTCAAACGGTCCCCTTGCTCTGTTCTGTGACGCACATTTGTGACTCTCCTGTTCGAACAAGT